ACGCTCTCTCCGCCCGCGACAGGTCGTCCTGCGCACACACAGCCGATGACATCATCGATCACTTTTGGGCACTGGTCAGTGAAGCTGATTGGTCAGACGGCGTCCTACCTGTCTGCCCTCAGAATTCGTCTTCGTCTCTGCGTCGCCATCTTTCCCCTCAATGTCCTCGCTGCGCTTCTTCGCCGTTTCCTCTCCACCTTCGTCTACCTCGCCCTCCTCCTCTTCATCTTCCTCGTCATCTGATCCTTGACCTCGCCGACCTGCGACATCGTAACATTTACCCACAATGCCCTGCGGCTTCTGGTGCTTTTCCCCTACAGTACTCGCCCTCACCTTTGCTCTGCTCGCCCGGCTGGCTGGAGCCCCCCGTCTCCGTGGTAACAGTCTCCGAGTCGGGCATCCGGCTTGTGTTGATGAGCGCTCGAATGGGGGTGTCATCATCTAGCCATACCACGTTACCTAGGAAACCATCAGGTGGTGAGAACAGGGTTTGACCCGAGCTGTGATTGGCTGGGAGAGTCACATGCCCCGCCCCCGTGCAGCAGGTTCATGAGCCCGGCTCTTCTGTCTGCACGCCGTACTCACAGGAAGTGTCATCGATCCACTCGATGTGAGCCGGAGGATACTCTTTAAAGTACCCGAAGACGTCCTGCGTGCTCATGTCGTCCACGCCCATCACATGGATTGCCTCCATGCGCAGCTGGGGGATGGCTGGGCACCACAGAAGAAGAAGACGACGACATGTTAAACTAGCTCCCGACCAGGAAAAGGTTGTCTCTGCCTGCTGACAGTCACAGAGGACACGTACCTTTTTTCATGGCGTCTTTATCCAGGAAAACGTTGCGCTGGCCGACCTTCTCTTCCCCGTGAAAATGGAAACGCTGCGCTCGCTTCTCTTTCCTTTCGATCGCCTCCTGACGAGGAAGGAAAAAGGAAAGAACTCGAGTAGTCAGATGAGTTGGAACCCTGCGCTTCCCACTCAGCTATCACTCTTTACCTGACCTCATCAGGTCATGGTGACACATGCGTCCTGACCCCACAGGCGCTCAGACTCTTGCATGTACTTCACTAATATCACCCACAGTGAGAAACACTTTGCAGCAGCCTACAGCCGGCCACACTCTGAAGGTTTACCTTAGAGTTGACGTCGATTCCAGTGATGAAGGCTCCGGCCTTGTTCTCATACCGCCGACTGGTGTCCTGTGAAACAGACAGACAGCAGTGGAGGCCACGGTTTCACTTTCCCTTTGAGCCATTTCTGTTGGTTTGCCTCAGCAACATTACAAAGTGACTGTAAACACATGAGAAACACATGAAGTCCACAGCAGCAGCCACACAGGCCTCCAGAGCAACTCTAACGCGACTTTCACACAAGAAGAAAACTTTCATTTCTCCAGCTGATGAACTGCTCTGGATACTGTCTGTGTGCTGGCAGGGGAGGAAACACCCGTGAAGGTATAAAAACTACTAAGTGCGCGTGTATTCAAATAGAATAACTCTCCCCGTTTTGCATTTTTCTGCACGTAAAAACGTTAAACTTCCTAGTTTTAGCTGAGGTTTGGTGGCAGGGCCACTCTATACTAGCAGGAAGAGTAAATAACAAAGGAAGACTAATGAAACCCAGGTTCACGCTTAGAAGAAAGCAGAACAGTTCGGTATGCGCATACCTGCTGAAATAGTTGAGCACTCTGCGCTCTCGGCTTTCTTTTACACGTAAACATCTTAAATTCGATGTTTTTTAAGTAGAGTTTGGTGGGACGTGCGCTCCACACAAACAGCACGTGAACACAGCAACAAGTGACTGAAATAAACACGAACCCCGCAAACATGTCGAAAACGTAAACCAGCCCCGGTTAACGCGAGGCCCCCGCCGCTCATCGGCAGCCCCCACAGCACGGGGCGGACGCCTGACTCCCGGGGAGAGAGCCGGGAGTTCAAGTAACCGCTAGCCGACACTTCCTGCGGATCTGCCGGGCGACGGAGACGCCAGTCCCCGGAGTGCCGGGGCCTAGTCCGGGCTTACCGGCAGCAGCTCCTTCAGAGAGCGGTTAACGGAGATGTCCTCGGGCTCCAGCTCTCCCTCCTCCACCTCCATTGGCTCGGCTTCGCGGGCATCTCTATCCGACTCGGAATCGGAGTCCGAGCGGTCGGAGCCGCTGTCTGATTTCACCGAGACCCGCAAGCTGCGTACTGCCGCCATGGTGCTAACCAAGCAGCTAACAACGGCCGCTAGCGCTGCGGCTCTGGGCTGACCCGGAAACGGTAACTACGGCTTCTTCTGCGGCCTGCAGGCGGCGCACCAGAGCTCTTCCGCCCCTTGTGGTTTTTAAGGGTAAAACGTGATGTCATGCTCAGCAGATGGCGGTGCTGAACAACAGACACGCTAACAGCGTCACAGACGATATAGTAGAACATGTAAAAATGTTTTTAATAAATGTAAACAGTCCTAAATATAACAGGGCTGAAGTGTACTGCACAATGTCTGAAAAATCCAAATAAAAAAGTACAAACTAATTAATAAACAGGTAAGCATGATAACAGAGTAAAACATTATCAGAATTACACTGAATAAAGAAATAAACACAAGGCTGTGACAGAAATAGAAACTAATGAAAACGCAGTATAAAAACATTTATTCATCTCTCAGTTAAACAATAATTTTCTCTCTTATTTATAAAGTTCCATATTTATTTACTTTAATTGTTTTATAACAGATACTCAGACACACAAATACACAAATTAACACAGAGAAGAACAACTAACAACTAATTATTTGTTAGTTTTTTGTTCTTTCACAAAAGGACAATCAACCTTTTTCAATGCTTTGAACCAGCATCTGGCTCTGAGGCTCCAGCTGTGCATGAACACGACATGCACAGTAGTTTGTAGCTGCAGACAAAAATGACTTCTGCAGCTGAAGCGTGTCTTCAGTAAAAAAATACAAAAGTAAAAACCCACTGGGACGAAAAATAATCCGCTTTAATGTTGGGAGAGAATGACACGACAAAAACAACAATAAACACTGAAAGAAGCTGATTTTTATTTGTGAAATGTTCAGTTTTACAGATTCATGCTTTACATCACGCACACACACACGCACACACACTTTATGACATCAGAAACACATGCAGACATCTTTGTGTTCATGCTGCATCATCGTCGCTCTTTTAAAACAAACCAGAGCTTTTATTTTGAAAACCTGAACTCCTGTAGCTGCGCAGTTTCCAGTGGAGTGAGTGACCTCGAGACTCGACGTAATTGGTGCGATTGTCCCTCAGAGAGGGAGCGCAAAGCTTCTTCTTCTCCCTGACCTCCAGCAGCTCCACCTCTGACTCACCTGCAGCACCGCCCACCTGAGCCCGTCGCTCAGCCGCTGTGTGCCGCAGCATTTTAAAAAAGGTTCAGGTGGAGCTCACGATGTTGTGGTGTAATTGCATTGTACAGTAGATGTTAATGCAGCCGGTCAGTGTAGTTAGGCTGATGGCAGCTAGAGGGCGAGACCGGTGTGTTTCTGTA